AACAGTGGTTCAAGACAGGAAAGAGGTGGCAAAGGTGGAATTATGAAAGAAAAGTCTCTTGGGAGGGGAAAAAATGGGAAGAATATAAAGTTTATGCAAAGCTGTAAAAAATATATTCAATTCCTACACTGGAGACAGACACTTAAAAATAGATATTTGAAATGAGGGAATAAAAACAAGAAGCTAAAATGGTATATAGCTTTCTTAGAGGTAAAATGCAGAAGGGAAACAACGAAGCTGAGCTATAAAAAAAGAAATGCTAGAATTTTAGATTTGTTGAGCCTCCTGCTATTTGCATGCCACAGATTCATTTTAGTGGCAACACAAACTTCAGAGTAAATAAGTAATTTGATGTAGCTAACACATCTATACAGGCAGGTGAGGGGCGCTGCAGTGTCCAAGTCAAGTATTTCTCCCTACCTTATATACATTATACAAGAAATGGGGCACAGATTAAACTGAAGAGGAAAATTAAATATTTGAGACTGTTTATGAAGTGATAGTGAGCACCCTTCAATTATCATAAGTATAAATCATTCAAGGATGGAATTCCAGTGATAAGGAACACATACACAGGGGGAAAAAAAAAACAAACCATAAGAGCCAAGGACCAAAAGGCAGAATTAAGAGTAAAACCAGTAGCAATGTGCCAGATAAATACGCTCTGTTGGGCAAAATGATTCAAGAGCAGAAGAGTCTCACAAAAACTGAAAATGCAGAATTTTCATATGCTGACATAAGGGATCACCCCTTAAGAGCAACACTGCTAATTTCTAGTATATTTACTGGAAACCATTTTTGACTTGAAAACTAGCAGAGAAATAAAATGCTAGCTTTGCAAATTTGAAAGTGACAGTCATGTCTTGAGCTGTTTCCGGTTACAGAATACTTTTTAGCCGAGCCTGTCCTAGACTAACATACTAATATATACATTAAAAAGAAAGAAAGAAAGAAAAGAAAAGAAGAAAAAGGAAAGAAAAAAGACATTCCATCCCAAGTCTTTTTCCCCTATGAATAGATTTAGCAGTATTTTCTTTTCAAAATTAAGTGATAAAGTAATTATTTTGACATCCAAATGACAAACTGAACTTTGGAAAAATGTTCTATGAGGAAGAGGTTCAAAGTTAAAAGAAATCTCTCACCTGGTGACTCACTAAGTCACTAAGTCTTCAGTCCACTGGGTAAAGTTTATTCAAAAAAAATTACACACACAATTTCTTCCAAAGCTATTTTGTTGCGTTTACTGTTTCCTACAAAAGCAGTTTGAAGAAACAAGTTCTGCCTTACAGCGACAACAAGGCTTAATTACAAAGCATCTTTAAGTGTATGAAGTGCCAAAGATTGTATGAAGCCCTCCATCTCTTCTGTACGTCCATGTAGGCCCCATCAGCACTTCACAGGCTTACTAGGCTTCTCTCCATCTGGTTCTAACTGCCGAGCAACACAGTCAGAGGCCCGAGATCCCACAGCATCACCCCTTTACAATATTTACATCATGGTGAACAAAAATTAGTATATATAACATCCACCAGCAGTAGTGAAACTAACTGTTTTAACCAGATCTAACCAGATCTGGAACTCTCTCAGCTTTAACCTATATATTAAAAACAAAGAAAAAAAAAAATTAGGTATACTTGGCACTTCTCATCAGAAGAACACAGAGGTAACTCCACCACCACAACATGCTGGAATCTTTACGCACTTACATGTTCATCAGCATTTCAGAAGCCAGTACTTAGAAAAGCACTGGAAGTCAACTTCCCACTACTCCTGGCTACACTGGACAGCAGCTCGGTTCAAGAGCCATGCTAACATCTTAGACATGTTGTTTCCCGAAAACATCCCCTTTACTAATATAAACTTTTCTCTGAGAGCTATAGCTCTTCTTCCCTTTTGCTATAATCTGTTAAAAAAACAAAACAAAACAAAAGAAAAGAAAAAAATACACCTATCCTGTGCTTAATTCACGTTATTTTTTGCCCTATGTCACATGTTGTATGCCAAAGAAGAGTTAGTCATATCAGAGGTGATCATTTGAAGAAAAATTGGGGAACATCTTCTCGTACCAACAGCTCGCAAGTCTAACGCTTAATTATATGTGCACTCATAAGAATGCAGATTAGGATGGGGGGCAGGGGAAACAACGTCTTTAGGAAAAGAAAAAAAGAAACCCACCACAACACTTACTCCATGAAGAAAGAGATAACTGTTCTATCCTTACAGTCTTTAAGTTGTTCACATACTGACAAAAAAACTTTACATATGGGAATAAAAAAATCATTTCTGATATTCAGATGGGTTAGACCACACTTGGTCATGTTGAGTTCCCAGTCTCGAGCGAGTTGCAGAATCACCAGTAGCTCTTAAGCCTCTGGAGTCCATCTTTCCCCAAAGAGGCAGGTATTTTAATCAGGGAAAAAAAAAAAAAATTCTCAAAGAACTTCCTAGCATAACTACAGGCAAGCAGAAGGAAAGCGTTTTGAAGGTTATTTAAGTTTAGCCAATGTTTGCCTGCAGGAGAACAATAGTTTCAAAGACAACAGGCACGGGACGCAGAAGTGACAGAGGTTAATGCACAAATGAAAAAAAGGTAGCAAAATAGAGCATAACCAAACTGTTTGGCAAATGAAATTGAGGCTCCATTTGCTACTTTTCCCTACCATCCCAATCGCGTTATATCTCACGCTGATCAGATGCAATATGAGGGAAGCTTAATAGCTCCCCTCTGCCTAAGAAAATCCCTCATTCATTCTTCATGCTTTGTGGAAATTATAAACCAAAAAAACTAACCTTGTGTAAGCTTAGTGTTATTCTTTCTTCAGTTCTTTCCTATCCCCACTGTAACTTTTCTTTAGCTCTTCTCTGTGTAGAGTCTAACACTCTCATGCACGTTCACTGGAACCCAGACTCCAACTCTGGAGGTAGTTTCCAAGCAGTAGTATAGTTTAAAAAAACCACTTCTCTAACACGAGAACACAAAGTTAACTGCTGGACTAATACTGGGCTTCCAAACAATATTTTCATTTCAGAAAAATGTATGAAGTATTTTAGCATAGTAAAATGGAAGAAGTACTCAGAAGTAAAGAGTACTTTTTGCACCCTAATGGTCTCAGAGGCAACAAAAATGAATTCCGCTAACTAGTCAAATTGATCTGCTTTTTTGCACGAGGGTTGTCTACCACAGTTCACATCTTACTCATTTTTGAGATGACAGGTACTACTGAGCTTGTATTCTTCTAAGCTACAGAAATTAAGAAAACGAATTCAAGTGTCCTATCATATTAGGGCAAGAAACAAGTTCAGGTATATACTCTTGTCTACATCACCTCAGTTTAAATTAGTCTTTTGTGGGGGAAGGAAGGCAGGAGGAAAGGGAAATGCTGCCATACAGAACTACTAGGAAAGGATTCCTAAATAGATGTTAAATTAAAAAAAGATAAAAATATCAAGAAGCCTTTTTAGAGCAAGCAGAGCCTCAAAGTCTACTTTTGGCAAGTCAGGTAAGTCCTTCACCTTAAGAATGTTCTAGGACACTTACAAAAAAGTTGTCTCCATACAATGACATAAGCAATAATGTTGACATTATCATGTTCTTGGAATGTTTATTAAACAATGCTTTGTTCTTTTGTTACACAAACAAACAAGGTAGAACTAGTTCCAGCTGCAGAAAGACGGATTTCACTAGCTGGTGACAAAGCAAAACAAGCCTGAAATTAGGAAGTGAAAGATGTTTCGGGCCTGTAAAAATAAATGTTATTTCACATGCAATACTGGGTTCTCACACAGCTTCTACCCATTATTTCAATCGAATGTCAGCTTGTATTTCTAGAACTGTATTTCTTTGGAGAAGATGAACTTCTATTTTGATGATAACCACTCATTAAAAGCTTATCAATTATAAAAGGAAGATATTACAGACATCTATCTGAACTATCCCCATTTCTTCCTAGAGTGACAACCTGATGCAAGTAACCTTTTAAAAACAGTCTAGTACTGGCAAACGGGACCTGAGTATCAAAAGACGACAAGCAAAGGAGAAAGATTCTTGACCTCTCACATAGCACGGCACCTTCCAAAGTCATCAGCTTTATATTTCTTCTATAATAGACATACAGAGTTTTTTTCTACAGGAATTGCTACATAAAGGTTGAGGTGTATCTTACAAGACCTGCACAAACTTTATTCATTCTGCATCTGTTATACAAAAGGAACCAGTACGCATACCATAATTTGCCTGCCTATTTCAGCTACTATCTGTAGTCGCATATAGTACCGTGTGTGCACATGCACATATGTAATTATGTAGTAATACCTGCACAATACATACAAATATATATGGGTATGATGAATGGACAGACTAGAAAGATACAGAACTCTGCTGGGCCCAAGGACGTACAGAACTATGCAGTTGAAGAGAACCAGGGGATGGCTTTTAATAGTTTACAGTAACTTCTTTTGAAATGCTGTCTCTGCCTTTGGCATACTGGAAGCCTAGCAATATAACAGCCCCCACTACCTTTTGGAGACTATTTGGCTACTGCAGAGGTAATTCTCAAGCCACATCTGAGCCATTTTTACTGCTGATGGGCATCCAAGGGTATTTATGTCCCTTGCAAATTATGCTGCACGTCTCAAAGGTCTGGATGCCTGAGCTAACAGCCAAACGGCCGGACTAAGAAGATTTTACTGAAATTCTATAATAGCTGAATAATATTTCTACGGTATGTTTGAAAGAGGGGATATTCAGTAGGTATTTTTACTGTC